TGAGACTCCATGAGGAAGGATCTTTGGCTCGTTCCAGCACACACACACATATCACACACAGGGGAATTCCTTCGTCTGACACAAATCACAATAATAGGAGGCTTTACTTGATTTCTTTCAACATTTGCATTAGTAAAAATGTGTAAATATGTCAACAGCTTTGTCCAATGGTGCATAAAATTACAAAAAAAAGTGGAGCCCCGCAGGAAAGGAGGTGAGAAACAGGGTGGCTTGGAAGCACAACAGAATAATTTATATGTTTAAGACCACACAGAAGGCCCTGTTTTTGCATCCAGAGCACAGAGCCCTGTGGCAGTCTGAGAGGGAGCTATTCATACACACTTATTTTAAACACACTCCACTGGGTCAATCACACTTGGCTGAGGGCTGAAACCCAACACAAAGTACCAGAGAGGCACATTTGTGTGTGTTAGCTATACTTTAGGGACAAATTTGTCTCCAGAAGCTAAACCAAACAGAACTTCCCTTTCATGACAATAAGATAAATGAGGAACAAAAAAAATCTAAACAAAACAAACTGTAAAGGACAGATTGTGACACAAACACACACACAAAACAAAAAAACGAAAAAACAAACTGAAACAAAAAAACAAAGCAAAACTATAAAAATGCATAATATTGTAGTGTAGAGTAAGGGTTAGTAGTAAAGCACAACACAGCACAGCCTTGAAGGCCTTGTTTTTGCATCCAGTACTGACAAAACAAAACCACACACACACAAACATAGAACAAAGTAAAAATATAAATCCAAAAACATACACACACATTAAAAAACAAAATCAAAAACAAACAAATAAAACAAAACCAAAAACAAACAAACAAAACAACTAAAAATAATACTATAAAATAAAATGTATAAAATCAACAGAAGTATATGGCACATTTCCATTTAGCTAAGTAAATGTGTGCGTGTGAAGATGCATAACCATTTAAAAGTCATTAAAGGAGCAAAGGACAGAATGAAATGTACAAATTGAGGTTTAAAATTATGTATTAATCGCCTATAGATGATTCAATGTCAGTCCAGCAAGGTGGGATGTTGAATGGTGGTTTAGAAATGATGACCCTGTGTAATGGTGTGTGTTGGTGTGTATATGTGTGCAGATAGGTGGTCTGTTCAGGGTGACGGAGTGCAGATTCAGTTCTCTGACACAATGTAGACACAAAGTGAGTGGTAATGGTGGCTGTTACAGCTGCCCACTTCAATCTTCAGCATCACTGACACCATATAAGGACTCAGAGAAAGACACTGACTTTAGAAAGTACTAGAGAAATGTGGTACATTCTCTATCAGAGTGTACAGTGTACGTATGGATGGGTTTTGTGAGGTGACACCACAGCCATGAGCACAGGAGAATTACACCCTTTAACCCAGTAAGAACAGGAGAGACAGAGAGAGAGAAAGAGAGAGAGAATGAGTGAAAGAAAAAGAGAGTGCATTGACCCTGAGCTTCAGACATTCTCTTCACAGGCTATAACCATGATGGATGGCTCCACTGCATGACCAGATTGCTTACCCAGACATGAAGGAAAATGAGGAATATAACCGCCTGATTCTCTCAACCTCTTCCCTTTTTCATTCCTGCTTCCTCTCTCACTCCTTTCTCCTTCCGTCCTCTTTTTAAAGCTATATCTCCCTTTTCTGCATTAATATGGGGAAAGTAGGTTATCAGTGAATAACATGTCTGATTAAACCATGAATAAATTTGCTTAGAGCTGATTTCATCTCTTCGAATTTATATCACAGCACTTGTGCCTTCACAAGTCCACATTTCACACCGTAACCCCACCTGTCAATCACACAACATCATTAAGCATCTTTCCACTTACCTCCAGCTGTTATTCAACAGTATATGCGAGAAAGAGAGAGAGAGAGAGTAGCCTATCTCTGTATGTTGCATGAACAATACTCAGTGGCCATTCAACTCATTATTTGTCATGTGGCGGAAACTCAACTTATAATAGGGGCAGACGAGGTTGTGGGGTTTAATTGAAATTCAGTTTAAATTCAGGTAGAGAATGCATGATGTAGGAGACTTGCAATATTTGCTTCTGGAGGTCATAGCTCCACCATCTCAGAAGCAGCTGACCACCTGGGATTTTCACACACCAAAGAGTCTTGAGTTAATAGGGAATAATGTGATTAGGAAAGTTCTCTCACTCCTGCTATGGTAATGAGAGACCAGAAAAGAAAGGGCAAGGCTTGCTGAAACTAACTGAACGAACTGAAACTAACTAACTAGGATCACAGACAGAGAATGAAAGAGCAGCATTGGGCCACTCTACAATGTACTTAACAGATAGGCTATATTATTGTATGTATATATATATATATATATATATATATATATACAGGTGCATCTAAAAAAAAATTTGAATATGGTGAAAAAGTTCATTTTTGTAACTTATTTCAAGAAAGTGAAACTTTCATATATTCTAGATTCATTCATTACATGTTAAGTAAAATATTAAATTTTTGTATTTATTTAATTATTTATTTATTAATTTTGATGATTAGAGCTTACAGCTCATGAAAGTCAAAAATCCAGTATCTCAATCAGTGGATCAGTGGTCCAAAGTCCTCTTTTCAGATAAAAGTAAATTTTGCATTTAATTTGGCAATCAAGATCTGTAGTCTGGAGGAAGTCTGGAGAAGCACAGAATCCAAGCTGCTTGAAGTCCAGTGTGAAGTTTCCGAAGTCAGTGATAATTTGGGGTGCCGTGACGTCTGCTGGTGTTGGTCTATTGTGTTTTATCAACTCAATGCAGCCGTCTACCAGGAGATTTTGGAGCACTTTATACTTTCATCTTCTGACAAACTTTATGGAGATGCTGATTTCCTTTTCCAGCAGTACTTAACACCTGCCCACACTGCCAAAACCAAGTGGTTTACTGAACATGATATTACTGTGCTTGATTGGCCAGCCAGCATGCCTGACTTGAACCCCATATGGAATCTATGGGATATTTTCAGAGAAAGATGAGAAACAGTCAATCCAACAATACAGACAAGATGAAGGCTTAATAGTGCCTCAGCAGTGCCACAGGCTGATCGCTTCCATGCCACACCTCACTGATGCTGGAATTTGTGCTAAAGGAGCCCAGACCAAGTATTGAGTGCATAAATGAACATACTTTAAAGAACTTGAACTTTTCTGTTTTGCAAATTCTTTTTTTTTTGATTGATCTTAGGAAATATTCTAATATTGAGATACCAGATTTGAGTTTCATGAGCTACGTTTTAAAATATTATTAATTTGACACTATGCAAAAACTACCAGTAGAAACTGTGAATTTTGTCATTATTATTCTATAAGCATCCTACAGTTCTAGCACCTGCTTTGAAGTTAACTACAGCTGTTCCATTAAGCACAGTAATAATATTTCATTTTGAATACTAGTTCTGTTATAATACTTTAAGAGATGTTTTTGTGCAGCTGCATCTCCCATTAGCTTTTAAACAGGTGGTTTGTATTGAGAACACACCAACACCTGAAGCATTGAAATTGAAGTTGGCAGTGAAGTCCAGGTTTTGTGTGTGTGCTCATTTTTTTTCTACTAGACAGACAAGGTCAGATGTGGGCCCATGGCTGGGCAACAAAAGAGACAAATCTATATTAGGTTTTATTACACAGTGGCATCCAGCATGACAACCGATCCTTGTACCGGGTCACTATGGTCTACTGCAACAAGAGGAATTATAAAAACGCAAACCAGGATTTGTAATCTACACCCTGGACCGTCGTCAGGGGAGGACAGACAACCGGGAATGCTGTCGTTGGGGGTGAGGGGGCAAAAAAGTGTGTTCCTGGGTCCCTGTTCATGAATGTCAAAGATCTGCAAATGCGGATGAATTCCTCTCCTCTGTAGAATCTGGACAATTTAAAATTAGAATTAGTTTAATTTTAATTAAGAATTCACGAGGCTTTGGCCTAACAAACAAGTCGTTTTATTTGTAATGAGGACCTTAAGTACCAATATGGGGCATCCATCTGGATGTGACGGCAGCCAGTCTGGGCTAGTGCTCTCACCACGAATCGGACATCACAGCGATGCGTTGATGAAGAGGAGACTCATATGAGGCCATAAGCAGATGGAATGAAAATGTTTTAAGTGGGGATGTTGGCAGCGGTACCAGACTGATATGGCTCCCAAGTTGTTTGTTAATTTACTTTTATGTAGCAAAAAAATGTGTAGAAGAGCATCATCCAAAAATTAGCTGCGTGTTCCAAAATGCTCCTTGGAAGCTTTAGGATTATATAAAAAAGAAACTTGCTACATCTTGAATATTGAGTTTAATGGTGCAAAATAATATTAATTATTAAAAAAAATGTCTTATTCAGTATTTTAGTCTTGTTATCTCTGGAAAAAAAATATTATGATTGATCTTAGGAAATATTCTAATATTGTGAGATACTGGATACTGGAGCTGTAAGCTCTAATCATAAAAAAAAAAAAAACTTTTGAAATGTTTTACTTTACATACGTAATGCATCTAGAATATATGAACGTTTCACTTTTTGAAATAAGTTACAAAAATATATACTATTTAAATACTTTAATATTTTAATTTATACTTAAGTATTTTATTTCTATATTTTTTTTTTTTACTGTATTTTTACTTGGGATAACAGATGAGTCGCTAAAGACTAAGGACCATTCTCATCAACTATGAACAGGTTTTCCAAAACTAAATGACTGAACTTTGGAAGAATCTCATTGATCTGACAAATCTACAGCATACAGATGGTAGAGTCACAATTTGACTCCAAAAATCGCACATAAGGGGCCTTTATACCAACTAAGCACAATTTGAATGCCACAGCATACATAAGCGTTGTTGCTGTTATGTGCGTCCCTTTATGGCCACAGTCCATCAGTTTTCAAATGGATCGCTCCCGTAGTATAGTGCAAAATGTCATAAAGCTCGAATCATCTCCAGTTCCAAGAACATGGCATGGGTCTTTATTTCCCGCTAGCAGCCTGCACAGTCGCCTGATCTTAAACAAGAGTTGCTGTAGCGTGGCCAAAATAGATTAATAGATTCGGCAGCCAAAATATCAGTGCAAACAGCCCAGTGTTATTGAAACAGCAAGGACCAAATTCCCTAAGAAATGTCTCCAACACCTTGATAAAACCGTTGCAAAGAATGCATGTCGTTTTAGAAGCCAAATACCTGACACTGGATAGATGGACCTAAAGTGGCCACAGACTGAACATATAGAGAGACCATCTTTAAAGGATAGCCCTCAATTTCATACATTTTCTCTTTCCCCCTCTGTCTTTTTTTGCTAAGGTAGCACCATGCTCCTGCTGCGCTGTGTATTGGACGGTAGGGATCACTCTCTCCAATCTAGCTTCTTGCTGTTAGACCCCACACCTACTGCTGACCCCATCTCAAATCAAATGTCCACCGATGGTCAGACTCCACACACACACACACACACATATAAGCACAAACTGCTCTTTTCCTTTGTAATCCAACAGCTACATACTATTTTTCTATGTTCAGTCTGGTTCAGAATTGAAAATCTAGCATTATAGGACCCTAGCAGGTGGGACCAAATCCCGAAAAGACTTTCTCTCAAGGTCAAAACTGATCCAGAACACACACAACTAAATAAACAAACAAACAAACAAACACATATAATTTAGACCAACATATCCCTAATTCTGCACACTGATAATGAAACTTAACATTAAGTCAAGTCACCTTTATTTATATAGCGATTTATACAATACAGATTGTTTCAAAGCAGATTCACAGTAATAAACAGGAAAACAGAAACAATGTAAACTTTATGTAAACTCAAATATGATACAAATTTTGCTGTAAAGCAGCTTTAACGAGACAATAATATCATTATTCAGCTCAAGTCAGTTCACTGTTGGTTCAGTTTGGTTCAATAAATGTGTATAGTTATTTAATTTAGCAAATATGTAATTATTCAGTTTGAGTCAGTTGATTCAATTCAGTTGAATAACAGTGTTGATGTTGCTACATTGGTCAATTATGAAATGAATTTGATTCAGCTATAAATCAGTTCTACAAAAACAGTAGTGTCATTATTCAGCTCAATTCAGTTCAACTTTTGTTTTCATCTAGTAGTGTCAGTGCAGTCAAATTGATAATATTACTGAATATTAAATATTTTAAACCCCATCTAAGCAACCCAAAGGCGACAGTGTCAAGGAATCCAAACTCCAGCAGGTGA